GTGTGTGTGTGTGTGTGTGTGTGTGTATGTACAGTATATATATATATATATATATATATATATATATATATATATATGCATACATGTATGTTGTTGTTTTTCTGATATATGTGGTTTTGAGAGGATTATGGGTAGTTCTTCATTGAGTAATTGGCTCACAGACAATTTTTCTACAGACACATATTCCAACATTTACCAACCTCTGAGCTCATGTCTTGAAACGTTTATATTGCATTGCTAGACATGAATTTTTCAGGAGAAACTGAATGTAATTTGGTGATTTGTATTTCCTGAACCCTACCGATGCGCTCGGTTGAATGTGTGTGCGTTTGTAATTACCTGTGCTACATGAATGAACTTGGTGAAGACCTCTGCTCGCTGCTGTGAGGTGTGTTTGTTGAGGATCATGAGCTGGACCCACTGGGAGACTCCGTTGCAGAGCATGACAGAGCGCTCGAGCGCTGGATTATCCCTCACTGAGCCATGGACCACGTAACTGCGGTAGTCCAGAAACTAACATGACACACACAACAACAGGCACGGCTGAATCTGACATCCAGATGTGCTAAGCACTCACGAATGTGATCAGCAAGATATAATGATATGAATCTCTGATATGAACTGACACGTCCAGGTATGAGTACAATGGGTGTGATCGTGGTTGCTTTATTAGTCAGCTTCAGCAGTGTGAGTCTGTGCCGTCACTAAAGCGCTATACTGAGGTTAGACCATCAGATAAACACAGTTTGCACTAGCAACGTCTGGTCAGAGAATGTGAGTGAAACTATCATGAGCCTTCGGGGTGAGTGACTTACTGAGACGTTGCAGAAGTTTTTGGTCAGTGTCTTGATAGCACGTTATAGCAGAGCATTACTGAAACATACATATTTCAGAATGTAATGTACAATCCTTTATTTTTTTCAGATCCACAACATAATGCAAAAGTGGCTGCTCACTTTTTAATGACTTTGGTTGCGGAAGTATTTATACAATTCATTTTTATCCTTAGGCATGAACCAAACTAATCAGGTCTGAAATTAATTGCAAATGTTGATTAGAAGCGAAAGGTTAAAAAACAGAAAAAAGACTCAATTTAATGAACTAGGAATTCCATGAAGCACTGCCAATGATGTAATCAAAACAGTCAATCAGCACTTTGATCAATGATGATTAAACAATTATTGATTATTAATTATACTAACTATTGATTATAGCTCATTTATTTTAAGAATAGAAAATATATAGTTTGTCACAAAATGTCACTAAATACTGAAAAATGCTGTAGAAACAATTATCACTCAGAAACTGCTAGTAAATTCCACAAATAACAATGAAATGAATACAATGAAATGGTAAAATATTGATTTAAATTTTAAAGTAGAAAGACTAAAATGTTATTTTCTCATAAAATGTACTCCAACTCTATTTGTTTTATCGACAACCTGCTAAAAATATAAAATAAAATTGATGAAACCAGCTTAAGCTGGTTGCCTGGTTTTAGCTGGTCTTCCAGCCTAGTCATAGCTGGTTTGCAGGCTGGCTGGTTTTAAAATGGTTTTGACCACTTCTTTTGCTGATCTGAGTTGGTCGGGCTGGAAGAAAAAGTTTAAACCAGCTCTCTCTCTCTATATATATACATCTTTCTCCGTGTGTGTGTGTGTGTGTGTGTGTGTATGTACAGTATATATATATATATATATATATATATATGTATACATGTATGTTGTTGTTTTTCTGATATATGTGGTTTTGAGAGGATTATGGGTAGTTCTTCATTGAGAAATTGGCTCACAGACAATTTTTCTACAGACACATATTCCAACATTTACCAACCTCTGAGCTCATGTCTTGAAACGTTTATATTGCATTGCTAGACATTAATTTTTCAGGAGAAACTGAATGTAATTTGGTGATTTGTATTTCCTGAACCCTACCGATGCGCTCGGTTGAATGTGTGTGCGTTTGTAATTACCTGTGCTACATGAATGAACTTGGTGAAGACCTCTGCTCGCTGCTGTGAGGTGTGTTTGTTGAGGATCATGAGCTGGACCCACTGGGAGACTCCGTTGCAGAGCATGACAGAGCGCTCGAGCGCTGGATTATCCCTCACTGAGCCATGGACCACGTAACTGCGGTAGTCCAGAAACTAACATGACACACACAACAACAGGCACGGCTGAATCAAGTTAATTTTTTTTCCTCATTAATGTACACACAGCACCCCATATTGACAGAAAAACACAGAATTGTTGACATTTTTGCAGATTTATTAAAAAAGAAAAACTGAAATATCACGCATACATGTATGTTGTTGTTTTTCTGATATATGTGGTTTTGAGAGGATTATGGGTAGTTCTTCATTGAGTAATTGGCTCACAGACAATTTTTCTACAGACACATATTCCAACATTTACCAACCTCTGAGCTCATGTCTTGAAACGTTTATATTGCATTGCTAGACATGAATTTTTCAGGAGAAACTGAATGTAATTTGGTGATTTGTATTTCCTGAACCCTACCGATGCGCTCGGTTGAATGTGTGTGCGTTTGTAATTACCTGTGCTACATGAATGAACTTGGTGAAGACCTCTGCTCGCTGCTGTGAGGTGTGTTTGTTGAGGATCATGAGCTGGACCCACTGGGAGACTCCGTTGCAGAGCATGACAGAGCGCTCGAGCGCTGGATTATCCCTCACTGAGCCATGGACCACGTAACTGCGGTAGTCCAGAAACTAACATGACACACACAACAACAGGCACGGCTGAATCTGACATCCAGATGTGCTAAGCACTCACGAATGTGATCAGCAAGATATAATGATATGAATCTCTGATATGAACTGACACGTCCAGGTATGAGTACAATGGGTGTGATCGTGGTTGCTTTATTAGTCAGCTTCAGCAGTGTGAGTCTGTGCCGTCACTAAAGCGCTATACTGAGGTTAGACCATCAGATAAACACAGTTTGCACTAGCAACGTCTGGTCAGAGAATGTGAGTGAAACTATCATGAGCCTTCGGGGTGAGTGACTTACTGAGACGTTGCAGAAGTTTTTGAACTCCAAGTAGCTGAGGTGTTCAGCCATCTCATCTGGTTCCATGTGGTCAAACAGCAGTGAAACTTTCCTTTTCTTCACAGAGGGAGAGGGAGTCTGGGAAACATTCACTGGAGGATTACTGGTTTCAGACATAGTGATGGACAAACAGAAACCAAACAGATCATCATAAATCAGACAGGTGAAGACAAGAATACAGCCAGAAACAAAGACAGACAGTCAAAATTAGGGCTGCACGATTATGACAAAAATCATAATTGTCTATTATTCCCTTGAAATTGTAATTGTGATTATTAATTACGATTATCACAATTTACATTGAATGATGTTTATACCATTGTATAACTGAAAAACTTTTAGTGCTTTTCTATATTATTAAGCCTCAAATGTCAACTATACATCGGATTGGTTTCTTCTTTAAATTATAAAAAAGTAAAAATATGAATGGTATTATAATGTTATACTAAAACTAAAATTAACAGACAGTCAAAATTAGGGCTGCACAATTATGACAAAAATCATAATTGTCTATTATTCCTTGAAATTGTAATTGTGATTATTAATTACAATTATCACAATTTACATTGAATGATGTTTATACCATTGTATAACTGAAAAACTTTTAGTGCTTTTCTATATTATTAAGCCTCAAATGTCAACTATACATCGGATTGGTTTCTTCTTTAAATTATAAAAAAGTAAAAATATGAATGGTATTATAATGTTATACTAAAACTAAAATTAAAATAATGGGAAAAACCCTTAAGATAACATGTAGAAAGAAAAAAATGCATCTTAAGCATGCAGAATAACATAAGTGGACTTTGAACGATTACGTAATTGTGGCATCCATAATTGTAATCGCGATTAGAAATTCGGTTAATTGTGCAGCCCTAGTCAAATGACTTATGCTGTTCAGAGGCTTGTCACATAGCACACAAAACCATTTGTACTTTATTAATATTATCAATTACTTGGAAATATTTTAACTATAATATCATAATATCAATATAATAATATATACTGCAATTATATAATAATATAATATACACTATAATTTTCATATTGCTATTTTAATACAATCAATATTACTATATATTATGTTATAATTATTTATTATTTTTCTATAATGTCTTAATGTAATATATATGTAAAGCATGTGTGTGTAACACACACACATATTACATAAAGAAAAACAAAATACTTTTTTATTATAATTCTGTATTATAGATATTACATATAAATTAAATATCTATTACATTTGGTCAATAATTTGTCATTTTCTGTAGTATTTAATAATTCTTTATTATAGAATTATAGTTGATATTACAGACTATTATGATCATATTGCATTATATTCAATATTGTAAAATTTCAAGTGTGTCTAAAATGTGTACTTATAGTAGATATAAAGTTACTAATGCTCTGGCAATGACGGAAAGCTTTTTTTGCCATGCCAATAAAGCTATTTGTATCTCAAATGGAAAAAAACTCACATGTATGGTGTATTGAAGAGCTGACAGTGTGAATCGCTTCCCTCAACCCTCACCAGAGCCCAGAGATCTCCCATCCCTTCTTCTAACAGAGGGTCCACCTCAAACATTATTCGGAACTGATTAATCCACTGCCTGCATGAGACAGACACAGAAGACGCGGAAGACAAACATGAATCCTTTCATTCATTTTGGGCTCTTTAGGTGCACGTGTGAATGTTGTGGATCCACCAACCTGATGAAGTGGCAGATTTGTGGTCGCCTCTGTCCCCTTTTCTCTGCAGGACAATCCTTATATGTTATCACAAGTCAAGGAGGAACCACATAACAGCGAGACTACAAACTCTTACATACAGAGAAAATAATCCACCCTCAATAAAGAGGCTAAAGTAAAACAGGGCAGCTCTTGTTTCTTTGTCAGTGGGATTAAGAGCCATGCGAGGCTGCATGTTGCTGTGACTGAACCCAAAACTACTCTTTGAATGATGGACTCAGCTTTTCAGGAATCAGCTGCATAAATCAATCTTCTTCAATTAAGGTTGAGGTAGAATAATAGCAGTGGTGCATGAAGGAGGATATAGGGAAAGCAGCTTTTGGGCGAAGATGTGTGATGACACAACCCAGTTATGCATCATCAGGGTCATATGGACAAGCTGCGTCCCTCTGATCAGCTTCCCATCTGAGTCTACAAAACAAAATGTTTAGATTTAGGTACAAGATGGTTTCTGCAACATTTATATGCAGTTACTAAGGTGTTTCGCTTGTTTTTACTGTGCTGCTATGCAGTTGCTACACTGTTTCTGGGTGGTTCTTGGGGATTTCTAGTCAAATGAGCCCAGCTCCAAGACTATGTCTATATATATTCCTTCATAAGTATGGCTTGGATTCCTGCTTCAATATAATTTTATCTCTTGTTTTATTGTCCGCCAGCTGAAAAAAACACATCTGATCACTAAAAAAAGTAAAAACACAACTCTCCTCACCATGCTGCATGATTTTAGGAATCATCCACCTTAACAGAAATAGTGTGGGATGAGTTTAATATTATTTTAAAGGGGTGGTTCACTGGTTTTTTTCTAGGCTTGATTGTATTTATGGGGTTCAGTCTAACATGTACCTCTCTGTCCCTTCTCTCAGAAACACCCTGATCATTTCTTTCTTTTATGAAGCCCCTCCCTCAGAAATAGGCGATGGGCTCTGATTGGTTAGCTAGCCCAGTGTGTTGTGATTGGCTAAACCGCCTCTAGTGCGTGTTTAGCCTAAACGTCCTGCCCCTCACCTCAGCGGCATGTGCTCCGGTTGTATTGTAAACAATGACGTTTTTAATATCGCTTATCAGTTTGAGCCCGATTGAGAAGCAGAGGATATTATTTAAGAGGATCGTGCAGAACTTTTAATGGTAGGCATATGCTTTTTGTTTGTTGTTGTCTCATACTTTTAGATACACTGTTATTTGTAAATGCTACTGTTTATGTTAGCTTTTAATATACTGTTTTATCCTAATTAACGCTTTAATACAGTACGGCAACTGCACGTGCGTCCATGTTTAACGCTTCTCATAGCTATGTGAAAATAAGTGTATAAATGGAACAGAGCTGAGCTGATGATCTGAATGAGAGAGAGAGATGCGATTCATATATGAATAGATTTTTACGTGCACCTCTAGTTTTCTCTTCCTCTTCTCTAAAGCAGCGCAGCATGGCCTCACCCCCTTTGCTGCCTTTTCCCAGAGAGCGGGGTTTATCTGGGTTTGTTACGTCACGAACCCGGGATGTAACTTGTTGTAGTCCCTACCAGCCATTTTTGTAGGCATTAAACTGGCAGAATTTTAAAAGACGATATCTCCATTTGCATTGAACTTTCAGCTTTGTAACTTTGCAGATATTGTTTATGCTCAAACAGCAACATTACACACTAACTAACATTAAAAAAGTGAAATCGCAATCAACCACCCCTTTAATGTTATGGCCGATATTAAAAATCAATATTCTTTCTATTTCGGCTTGCTCCCTTTCTTGTCAGGGGTCATTATAAATCAATACCATTTTATCTAAACCAGCTGTTTTAGTCAGAATTTTGAATTTAGGCATCACAACAATATAACGTACAGTGTGAAAATGAATGTTCATTTTGAGATTTGCTAAAGATTCATATTTAATTAACTTTAAAGTGAGAATTAGATCACCGAAATGGTCATTTCATTGTAAAAATAGGGGAAATTAACACAAAATATCCAGTATATTGATGAATAATTGTGAATCAAAAACTCAAATATTGGCTAATAACCAATATGGTACAAATATATTGTGTATCTCTAGTCCAAATACTTAGGGTAATAAGAAGCCAAGTAGATTATAAATAAACAAGGCATAAGGGGATGATGAAAAAATGAGAGAGAGGGGGTGAGACATCAAAAGATAGAGAAAGTGAGAGAGAGGGCAGGCCTGCGAAACTGAGGCACACAATCAGGCTTTGTCTCATTAGCATAGAGGGACAAACACATTCCCAGGCTCTGAATCCTAGTAAACCAAAAGATTTCCCTCTGTTTCTCTTTCTCTCTGTTTCTCTCTCCCTCTCTCTTTGACAAGAGCTGCTGTCCCTCAGCAGACTTACATAATCCGACTGGCACATGGAGACTGGGAATGATGGGCACATGAGGCCAGAGACAGGGCTGAGAACCCCAGGAACGTGGAATGTGGGAGATATATGACTTTCTGTTGTGACAAGTAATGTAAGCTGTGCTTCCTTTAACTACCCGGAAGGCAACACTTGGTCATGTTTTCATGAAAACAGGACAAGCAACCTGACAGATGTAAATGATTGTCATGTAGGTTGGAGCTTATTGATAGACAGATAGAGACGAGATGAACTGACCGAAGCAATGGAGGCAGCGGAGGATGAGTTCATCCAGGCTGGCAGAGCGAAAAGAAGAGTGAGCCGGAGGACTTTGAAGAGCCCGGCTGATCTCCTGAGGACTGGGGCATGTCATCCTCCTCTGCACTGGTCTTCTGCACTTTATCACACACCCTCCCTCCTGACGAGACTTCCTGCTGTTGAAGAGTGAAGACACATGAAAAAAATGCAGTTTCGTGGCTTGATGCTAATGAAATACTCAACCCAGTCCCAACAAAGTACAGGTGGATTCAAACAACCATCATGTGATCAACAGTACAACTGGGACATGGATGCAAGCATTTATTCAAACTGGCTCTCGTAAACAAACAAACAAACAAAACAAAGAATTCATAGCAACAGACAGTTTGCGTAGTTTTAGCCACTCATCAGACCACAGACGTTTCGCAGTAACTGCTTATCTTTACCAGGCTAAACAGCATTTTGATCATTTTTTTTTTTTAAATTTAATATTATGAAATATTTTGTTGATGTTGAAGACATCATCTTTGGTTCTTAAAGTGACAGTTCGCCAAAAAATAGCATTCTGTCCTCATTTACTCACCGTAAAGTTGTCACAAATTTGTACGAGTTTCCTATTTCTGTTGAACACCAAAGAAGATATTTTGAATAATGTGGGTAACCGAATAGTTGCTGGTAGCCAATTACTTCCAATGTATTTTTTTCCATACTAAGGAAGTCAATGGCTACCGTCATCTGTTTGGTTGCACATATTCTTTAAAGTACGTAACAGAAGAAAGAAACTTTATTTGGTGAACTATCCCTTTATTGTTAGACTGAAAACCACAGCAGTGATGGTAGGGCTTTGATCTTGGTTGTGTGTCATAGGTTATACGTAAAGCGCATGGATGCAAGCATTTATTCAAACTGGCTCTCGCAAACAAACAAACAAACAAAACAAAGAATTCATAGCAACAGACAGTTTGCGTAGTTTTAGCCACTCATCAGACCACAGACGTTTCGCAGTAACTGCTTATCTTTACCAGGCTAAACAGCATTTTGATCTTTTTTTTTTAAATATTTAATATTATGAAATGTTTTGTTGATGTTGAAGACATCATCTTTGGTTCTTAAAGTGACAGTTCGCCAAAAAATAGCATTCTGTCCTCATTTACTCACCGTAAAGTTGTCACAAATTTGTACGAGTTTCCTATTTCTGTTGAACACCAAAGAAGATATTTTGAATAATGTGGGTAACCGAATAGTTGCTGGTAGCCAATTACTTCCAATGTATTTTTTTCCATACTAAGGAAGTCAATGGCTACCGTCATCTGTTTGGTTGCACATATTCTTTAAAGTACGTAACAGAAGAAAGAAACTTTATTTGGTGAACTATCCCTTTATTGTTAGACTGAAAACCACAGCAGTGATGGTAGGGCTTTGATCTTGGTTGTGTGTCATAGGTTATACGTAAAGCTGATGAGATCTGGTCATGAGAAATGTGCTACATGTTCTGTTTGGCTAAAAACCTACCCCCAAGTATTACCACATGCAACTAGAGATATTACCACCTAACCTAGTCTGTTTATGCGAATGTTCAGTTACTTTTTTCACAGATCTGACATAAGGATTCACATGGCATAAAAATGGCCATAGTCTAATACTGTAGGAGAGAGATGAGTCATTTAAGAGCAAGAATATCATAGAAACTTAATGAGGCATGGGCCCTTTTGACATGGGCGAATAAGCAAACATCTAGCAACCACTTAGAAACACTGTAGCCATCAAGAACCATTGAGAACTCCTTACCAACCATTTTGAATTGCCCTAGCAACAAGCTAAAACATCCCAACACCTTAGTAAACTGCCAAACACACCAGTGACTACTTAGATATGCCCTAGTAACCACACAGAATGGTTTAGCAACCTGCTTGAAATGCCCTAGGAACCACACAAAACACATTTGCAACCACTTAGAAAAGCCCTACTACCAACCATCCAGAACACCTTAGGAACCAATTATAAACACCCGGCCTATAGCAATCAGCCAGAACACCCTAGCAACTGCTTAGAAACACCTTAGTTGTTGTTAGATTGGTCTGACAGTTTACAAGGGTGATTTTAAGTGGTCGCTAAAGTGTTCTGGGTGGTTATTAGGGTGTTTCTAAGCGGTTACTAATGTGTTCCGTAATATGCTCTTAGAAACACCCTAGTAAACTGCCATAACACCCCAAAACTACTTAAAAATGCTGTAGCAATGACCCAGAAGACCTTAGCAACCATCCAGAAATGCCCTATCAACCACACACTTTAGCAACTATTTATGAACCCCCTTGTAGCCACTTAAAATCATTCTAATAAACTACCAGAACACTCCAGCAACTGCTTAGAAACACCTTAGCAACCACTTAAAATTGCCCTAGCAACCTGCCAGAACACTCTAGCAATGACGCTGTGCTAAAGCCCCCTCAGAAGTCATTAGTGACGGAATAGCAAAACCCAACGTAACAGCTTTACTGTGAGTTTCACACAAGCATGCACCACTCTTTGTACAATATAAAAATCTAGTGGCCTAAATTGTTCAGATTGAAATCTGCCGGTACATTTACTTCAGAGATTAAATGAAATATCACTCAGATCTGCTCTAACATCCTTTTTTACATGCCCTAAAGCCTTTGACATTATGCCTGAGAGCGATGGGTTCCCCTTGAAGTCTGCAGGACAGCACATGCCTGTGTACATACTGTATGTGACTGTTCGCACCCTGCAAGCCCTATCGGTAGATCAAGTATGTTGATGTTTATATGTAAGGTCGCGTGTTGATATCTGCCACCCTTTACAGTAGGTGTCACTATTCAGGCTGTCAATGTCACAGGAAGAGAGACAGTTAGAAAGTGTAGATAAGCATCTCTGTCTCACTGCTTTGCTCTCTCTTTTGTCAGCCACACAAAGAGAACAACAACATTGTACTTCAGGGTTACAGTCTATAAAACTCACAGCTGCTGCGTAATTTAGTAGTATGAAGCATAATCTCACATTTAAAGGTGTGTTTTTCTGAGTTGGACGTTGAATTGAGTCTTTGACAGCATCAGCAAGAATCATTGTGGTCTGTGACGGCAGTGAGACGAACAGGAAGCTGGCCATGACTGCAGAGAAGTAGCGATGAGTTCTTAGAATGTCCAAACCCCTCCCAACCGCTTCTCTCTCCCTTCCTCCTGCATCAGTGTCCAGTTCAGCACACTCGTTTTCAATTCTCTCTGCGCACAGACACACTGACGTTTACCTTCTCACCTCATTAAGCAAACCAAGTCTAACCACTAAGATCAGGGCCACACACTCCGTCCAAGAGCATAAACACTTCAGTTGAAGTTTGTAGACCATGGAAGACATTTTTACACGACCTTCCAATTTATACTTTCATAAAATACACCTCATATTTCCTTCTCTTCTGTTCATTCTATTTCTGACCGTCTGAATATTAGACATGACTTCAATATGCAAATTCCCCATCGTATTTTCACCTCTCTCTCTCGCTCGCTTATTTGCATCAACCTGCTCTACAGCTGATGACAATACACAATACACACTCTGCAGCCCTCTCACGCCTGAGAAATGCACACATGCACATGGATACAGACTCACACATACAGTAAACAAATTAGGGAAAATGCACTAGGTTAATGTAAATTAATTTGTAAATAAGTCTATGCAAATTTATATGCAGCATAGAATCAGCTAGGTGATTTCGATATTTGGGTCACGATACAATAATGATAATATAAAGATATTGAGATTCTGTATGTTTATTGTAGAACGCTGAGAAGTGAAGTAAAAAAACTAAACTTGTTTCTCTGACCTGTTTTAAAAATGTGATTTTCTTTTTCTTAATTTGAATTTGTGGTTTAAATTTCACAGTTATGACTTTATGTCTTTTATTTTGACTTGAATATAAGATACGATTGGCTGGAATACAAGATTTTTGCCCAGATTTTTGCCCTGGATATACATTATGGACAAGTCGATGATAGTTGCCGAAAAACAGAGCTAGACTGCAGATTTGAGTTGACAGCTTTCATAGAAAATCTAGTAGTGTATGATGGGCACAGACTCTGAATTTTTAGCTTCAGACTATGATTCCATGCGGTCGGAGGATATTAAACATGTTTGATATATTTCAAGCCTAATTTAGAAAACATGTTTTCATTTGTCACGTCTCTCCTAGCAACAAGGCACGTGTTTCTGTGTGAGTGTACCATTTAAGTATATGATGTACAGTTTTTCCTTTGTAACAATTTACAGTCAACAAGTGTGTGATGCCTAATATTTTTAAAGGGGTCATATGATGCGATTTCAATTTTTCCTTTCTCTTTGGAGTGTTACAAGCTCTTGGTGCATAAAGAAGATCTGTAAAGTTGCAAAGACTAAAGTCTCAAATCCAAAGAGATATTCTTGATAAAAGTAGTCAACAATGCCTACCTAAAACGGCTCGTTCTAACACGCCCCCCACATGTCTACGTCACTATGTGGGAAGTTTTGCATAACGCTGCCCAAATGTTCACGCAAAGAAAGAAGGAGTAACTTTTATTCTCGCTGAAGTATTGTTGCCGCCGCCATGTCGTGAAGGCGCTGTGTGATTCGTTGTGAAAGCGAAACTACTTTGTTTGGCCTTCCAAAAGAGGACGATATCTGCTTCGTCATGCCTGGAGCTGATCCGTGCTGGTCGCTGAGGAAATACAACAACTTGACGCTGTGGATCGCCTTTCACCGCGGACGAAGCGGATTCCAGCCCGGGGTCATCACATGTGGTTGCCGCAAGCCCTCCGGACGCTCCTTCGTCGAATCCGCCGGCCGCGCCGTTCTCAAGCCCGCTGCCTCTGCACACTCCGTCCGTTCCTCACTCTAGCCCCCGGCCTCTGCTCACGCTAGGCCGCCGCCGCCGCGGCGCGGTGCAACGCAACGTGTAAAAAGACAGTATAAGTCATTATAATCCATAATTATGTCCCCACTGGATGCAACGAATGCCTCGTTTATAATGGGTTTTCATGTTTTTGAATCATCGCTCCGGCCTGACAGGGCATCATCACAATATGGTAAGGGGCATAACATTTCCGTCACATGCTTGAGGTATTCGGCCAATCATAACGCACTGGATAGCTGGCCAATCACAGCACACCTTGCTTTTCAGACCGATGAGCTT